ACTAATACTAATACTAATACTAATACTAATACTAATACTAATACTAATACCAATACTAATACTAATACTAATACTAATACTAATACCAATACCAATACCAATACCAATACTAATACTAATACTAATACAAATACTAATACTAATACTAATACTAATACTAATACTAATACTAATACTAATACTAATACAATTAATATTAATACTAATACTAATAATAATTCTAATATTGATAATAATAATAATAGTAATGCTGATATTAATATTGATACTAATACTTATACTGATATTCGTATTACGGGTACTCATACTGATACTAATTCTAATACTAACATTAATACTAATACTAATACTAATACTGATACTGGTATTGATACTGATATTGATACTAATACCGACACTGATAATGATACTGATACTAATACTAATACTAATACTAATATTAATACTAAGACTAATACTAATGCTAATACTAATACCAATACAAATACTGATACTAATACTAATACTAATACTAATACTAATACTAATACTAATACTAATACTAATACTAATACTAATACTAATACTAATACTAATACTAATATTAATATTAATACTAATACTAGTACTAATACTAATACTTACTGATATTGATACAAATACTGATACTGATACTGATACTAATAGTGATAGTGATAGTGATAGTGATACTGACACTGATACTGATACTGATACTCATATTGATACTGATGATAATAATGATACTCATGTTGATAGTCATATTAATAAGTGATATTCATTTACCAATATTATTTATATAACTTAATATTGAAATAATACTTCATCTCTTTGCAGATAAAACGTAACTGAAATTGTAAGAAATACCTAGAAAGAAGACTAAAAACATATCTTTATATTACACATTTTTTGGGTAAATTACACATTAGTGTAAGAAATCTACAAGTTGCAGAGATGGATGTAATTATGGAAAATAATGGGATTTTTTGTGAATAACATTACCTCATGTGGTGGTGTAATTTCCCCTTCCATTTTTTTTTAATTTTTTTTATATAATTGAGATTTTAGCAATGTTTGGTACATTTTCATCTCACTTAATTCTTTTCTCGGAACGAATTCGTGTTTCTGGTTAATTTTCAAAAATTCAAAACAACTTCTAAAGTTTACCTCTCATTCAAATATACTGCAGTAAAAAGATTTGACCGTTACAATAAAAATTATTTTCACTCAAAAAACAAACAAACATCACTTTATTTTTCAAATTCTTCTTCTACAATACATTTACCTAACACCTTTAAACATGATTTGACCGCTACGATGTATATTGTGTCATCTCAAATTATAAATAAATATTATTTTCATTCTCCAATTATTCTCTCGAATATTTTTTTCCAACATAAAATGATAACCCAAAATGTATCCAAACATTGCCTAAATATTAGTATGATATTACCAAATGAAGGAGCTACAGATAATGAATTAATCCGGAAAATAAAGCATTTTTCGTTAGTAATCCCACTTATCAATCAAATGTGGTCCCTTAAGTCACTAATTTTGACTAATCCTTAACCGGGCCGGGCTCAAGTAATTCATCAAAGAAATGAGACATAACTATGGTGATAATATGCAAAAATATATCATTTTTTTAACAGCAAAAATATATTAAATGCCTCTATCAGGTGACTATATATTGTGCTTTACAATTAACAAACAAGAAAAAGTAGACATATATAAACATTAATAATGGGTAAATTACAACGACCCCTTAGGTAAGATTAAATTACAAAAAAAAACCCCTCATGTTTGGGTTACCCCTCAACTATGAATCTTCTTACACGTCCACCCTTATAGTGTCAAATTCAACATAATCTTCTAAATTTCGTTGAATGTTCTCTAGTTTCTACTGGTTTTGTACAAAAATGCAGTTTCTGATGCACTACAATATGATATATACAAGCCAAAAAACACATCTTATGATCATCTTGCTTCAAAATGTGGAGTTCGAATGAGATAAAACAGGTACAAGATTGAGAATATTCCATATAGTCTAGAAGATTCCACTGAATTTGATAACACAAGTTATGGTAGACGTGTAAGAAATTTCATAATTAAGGGGATGCTTGTAATTACCCAAAAATAAGGGGATTTTTCGTAACTTGGCCTTACCTCAAGGGGTGACCGTAATTTACCCTTAAGATAATAAATGTATACTGTATTGATGTTTGATACACTTTTGCAGTAATGTAATATTGATATTTTAAAGTAGACAGATAACTCGAACAAACAAATCTTCAGGTTTCGTTTGGTTGCTAGATATAATTAGATAAAATAAAATTAAATAATCTAATGAAAACTCAATTCTGATCTCGGGACGTCCAGCAGAAAAGCTCCTTAAATAGAAAGATGACGTAAGATAGAACATGATAACATAATATTTATGGGTTGACTCGTAAAATTATTGGGTTTACCAATCACCAAAGAAAATCCAATTATCTTTTTAATCATGACTGATCTTCCCAACCAAACTGAGGCATGAGTGTGATAGATAATTTAAAACATGTACTTTTTATTGTCATCATATTCTAGATGTATGTATGATGATAGCTTTGTGATAATTATTTATTTATAATGTTAATCTATGTTGTCACGCTAGATATTATTTGTTCTGGACCGGCCAAAGCAGTCTAATGACACTTGTGCATTCGGCCTAAAATAATATTTAATTTTTAGGGGTCTTCAAATTTGTAAAGCTCTCATGATTTTTTTTCCACCTTTCATTGAGTATTTTTCTATAATAGATACCCTTATTTATTGTTGCGAATCCAACATAAAATTGAAGTCTATTTTTCATTTTTTCTCTAAATAATGTAAGATATTGTGTCATTAAAGGGACTTTAAGTGTTATAATTTTATTTTATTGTTGGTTCAAATTTGTATATCCAGCCAATTAAAACCTAAATAATCCTAAATATACTACTTTTTTTGTTGTATAATAATTGGATTAGTTATCGTTGGATTCGAACTCTTTCTTTTAGTGGTGATTTCATCAAGTTTGGAGCTTTGAATATGTTTCTGCAATCATTTTACAGTCCACACATTTCAACGACGGTGGGTCTTACCGGAGGAGTAATTTATCTTCCGACAGTCGGAATTTGACGGGCTACCCACCGTTTGAGTCTTCTCGTCGAAATCTATTTTTTGACGGTAATTTCGTTTAATTTTTTGTTGTTAGATTTCTTAATTTCTATAAAAAAAAAAAAAAATTTTGCGAGTGTGGAACCTTGGTTGGTTGACAACGGGTAGAATTTTTGTAGGAGATGCTTGGGATGAAGAGTCATTGGCGGTTTGATCTAAAATATTCGTAACATCTCGCAGCTACGACCCCCCTTTCTCTCTCTCGATCTCTTAGTGTTTGTTGATTTTTGAGTGTTTTGATGTTTCTTCAATTTTTGTTAATTTGCACAAAAGTAATTTATTTTGTTTTGATTTTGCAATTGCAGCTTAATGAAAGCCATTGATCCTCTCCTTGAAGGTATCAAAAAATTTGGTTGAAGTTACATCTGTTTCAAGTTACCGTGTTCTACAGTCTGTATACATAACTGTACCTTATTATACATTACTAGTTACATAAGTAACACGTAGTAACATATGCATATATTTGTGTATTTTCGATTTGAATTTGTTGGTTATGAGGTGCTTTATAATATAAATATTGAAATTTTTAAAATTTTATTGTTGGCGTTTATGAATTTCTTTTGTATAAGCCAGTATTCGTGTGTATACATAATTGATCGACTAAAAATATGGGTAAAAAGAAAGAACATGACTACGAATGACTATAGTTTACTACAGTTACATGTAATCATTTTCACAACAGTAAACATATCGAATTTAAAAAAACTATTAAAAAATCTATAAAAAAATTATATAAAAAATAATAACATAAACAAACAAGTTTTTTTGTAAAAATAAATAATAAATAAACAAAGAAATAGATAAATAAATAAATTAGCGAAAGTGCTAAATACAGGACCAGAAATGCGAAATGGAGGATCAGAAATAGTGAATGTAGTTTGGACGAAAATTATATATAAGAACAATACCGTTTGGGTTTATCCCTAATTTATTAGACAACTAGAGAATATATAAAATAAGCCCAAAATTAAAATATTATAATTTTTTTTATTTAAACACTATAAATTTTAGCTGAAATGCTAACTCTCACACTATTTTTATCAAATCATGCACATAACTAAAAGTATTTCTCTCTCCAAAACTTCTCTTCTCCTTTCTCACCTCTATTCTTTTTCCCTAATTTTTTCACAAAATTACACATTAAAAACATCCCTAGCATTCCAAGTTCGAATTTGACAAAAATCTTTTAATGTTCAAACTAAAATAAAGTTGGAATTTGAGGAAAATATTCGAATTGATATGAATTTGAATAATTAAAAGTACTTAATGAAATTGAATAAATATTTAGAAAAAACGGAACTAATTTTTTTTATGATTATTCACGTAAAAAAATAATGAATTTTGAGTGACTTGGATGAAATCATTTTAAAGAGAAGTTAGAGAGTATTTGAGTAGAGAGAGATTTTTTTTTTAATTTATGTGTGAGATTTAGTAAATTTTAGTGTGGGATTTAGCATGCCCCAAATTTTAATCATATTATTTATATTATAACAATAATTATGAAAATATGTAGATTTTAGAAAAAATGGTACGGAGAAGAACAAAAAAGTGGAGGCAAAATCAAATTTACCAAATATGAAATATCTCTAAAATTACTCAAGATTTTTGTTTTTTAATCTTGGAATAATTTGACAAACCCCCTCATTAGCCCTTTCTAATTATAATCAGTCTAAATATTTTTCTTATTTTTGAGTTAAATTCAAAACAATTAAAATTAATAAAAGTTAATATAGTTTGACAATTATAACATTTTCTCTTATCACGTTTCTTTATATTTTATTATTTTATATTTTATATTTTATACTCAGTTATTCTTTATTTCTCTGTTAAGTTCCACACTCAAACTCTAGATCTGTCGTTCATCCTTTTCTACACAGACCATACATATGTTGTCCCGCCACGCCACCACCACCACCACCACCACGACAAACAATGGTCGTTGAAGCAAGTGACGAATTTCGTAGCGTTTCTGTTGTAGAAAACCGAATTTTGTTCGACAAAGTATCGATTTTTGCAGAGAAAGGCTTCAATTTTTGTTCCGAGATCTTTTTATCGGTGTGTGGAGCCGGGATGGTTCGGTTTATGCTTCAGCACTTTATCGGAAAAGGATATTCCTTTGATTATGAGACGTATTCATAAAGTTTTGGGAACTCGTAAATCTTCTTCTTAGTTGAAATTTATTTATTTGATTCGATTCTTTTTTGTAGAAAGCTGACAAAAAATCGAGATTATATATATATATATATATATATATATATATATATATATATATATATATATATATATATATATATATATATATATATATATATGGCGTAAGGCTGCGTGGAGTGATTTTTCGATTGAGGTTGTTCGATTATTTGTTGTTGGTCAGAAGTTGAACATTGTAGATGGCCTTTTACAGCTGATGCAAAATTAGAGAAACATTTGTTTCATTCTTTTATGTGCATAGTTTATATTTGCTTCTCATTCTTTTATGTACAGATTTTTATATAAATGTATATATGGAGTGGTTTTTATGTTGACATAGTTTTTATACAGAGTGGTTTTTGAGTTTATAGTTGTTATACAAAGTGGTTTTCATGTTATATAGTTTTTATATAGTGGTTTTCATGTTTATATAGCTGTTTATACAGAGTGGTTTTCGTGTTTATATAGAGTGAGTTTTATTTAAAAAAACTGAAGAAAAAAAAAAAACCATTTTTAAAAAAAATCGAAATTAAGAAAAAAGAAAAACCATGAAAACACGAAAATAAAAATAAAACCATTTTTTTAAATTCAAATAAATAACATGAAAAATATAAATAAGAAAAAAAATAATTTAAAATAAAAAACCGAAAAAATAAATTACAAAATTTTCTTTTAAATCGAAATAAAGAAAACCATTAAACAAAATAAAAAAGAAAAGGAAAAAAAAACTGAATTAACGTGATAAGGGGAATAATTTTTGGAGAAGATTTGAGTGTAGATTATGTGTATAATTAGCGTAGTTTTTCAGGCCCATTGAATTTATCTCAAATATCATTTATAAATAAATGATTTATATAAAATTAAAATCCCAATGAAGGGTGTTTGAAATATAGCCCCTTTAATCTTGGGGCCTGACAATCTCTTCTTGCCCCTTCTTAAGTCCGCCCGTTCTATATATTGTAAGGACCACCCCTCTGTGATTTTGAATTGCGGAAACACCCCTCGTGTTAAAATAATTAGTAGGAACCGCCTGATGAAAATTACTCAAAGGCAAAAAAGCTCATGACAGCATGTTGTGTGTTGTAGACGCGTCTTGTGCAACTGAGGGTGCATTTTTTTTTTACTTGAAAAGTCAAAAATACCCTCTTAAACTCTTTTGTAAGGGCAAATTAGTCATTGTATACAAGTCAACAACTAATTTTAACGAAACGGGCGGTGTGCTTCGTATAAAACAAAATAGGGGAGCTTGTGCTAATTTCTTTAACACATGATTTTTTTTAGCAATTTAAAATTACACAGGGAATTCTGTGCAATTAGCTCTATATAAAAAAAAAATATAAAATATCTCATTGCTTTCTTATTATATTGTCCAAAGCCTCTCGAATCCTGAGATCGATCATATATTTGTTGTAGGCTTATAATATCTCAGAATTTATTTCCGTCCTAAAATGTAATTGGTAAATAACAGCCACCCCTAAGGTAATATTTGATTACGGATAAATTGATCATATTTGGGTAATTATAACAATTTCTTCGACTATGAATATTTTTACACATTCATTCTTGCGGTGTCAAGTTTAGTGAAATCTTTTAAACCATGTGAAATATTCTCCAGTTTGCCCATTTTACCCTATTTGAGCTCATCATTTTGAAATAAGATGACCATAAGATGTGTTTCTTGTCTTGTAAATATCAGTTTGTTTTGTTGAATTTGACATCATAAGAGTGGATATATAAGAAGATTCATAGTTAAAGAGGATGGTTGTAATACCCAAATATAATGGATTTTTTCGTAGTTTAAACTTTACTCAGGAGGCGGCAGTAATTTACCCAATGTAATATAATCTCGTTACATATTCTCTTATGCTAGCAAAACAATAAATAATGATTTTTAAAAATATTAATATCTCAATAAAATTTCTTATCAAAATAAAGCAAACGTGTGGGAGTAAATAAAAAAAAAAATAAAAAAAAAAAAGCTAAAAAAGAAGTAAAAACTTGTAATGAAAAGAAATAGGGTTAATGTAATTAGAGCTGTAATCCTGACCGGCAGAGAAGCAAAGGGTGTGGTCTCAAAAGAAGTAGCAATGCACATCAGGTCCACATAGGCCACTCACATGGGAACACCATAACTGATTTTCTTTTGCCAAATCCTTTGGTTGGTTGGTTACTTGATTAGACAAACAACTTATCATATGAGAAAAATTTGGGCACATCATTTATGTTTTTGTCTAGGCGTGGAAATTCGTCTGATCGGATCGTAATTAGCACTTTCGGAAAGAAAAAAATGGTATTAAAAAATAATTTCCAATTCAATAAAAAAGAAAAAAAAAAGAGAGAGAATCATAAACCGTAATGAAAAATCATGTTCCAAAATAAAAAAACTTCGAATTGAAATCAGCAAAATTCGGAAAACAAAATAGAATTGTAGTTTCGGCCTTTCTTATTCGATAAAATTGAAATATGTACTAACATGACTTTGCAGACGCTACACCAGGTGAAATACATAGTGTAAAATTGTACACAATCACACACATGTACAAACATACGAATATGCAAAATAGATAGTCATCAACACATATGTATGAATGTTTTTTTTTACTGAATGAATTTTACCTGGTGCTGCGTAGAACAAACCGTATGAATATATACGCGTAATTTTTTCTTACCCAACCCACTTTACATGCATGTGGGTTATAATGTACGAATTGAAACACTCAAACGAATATTCAATGTAATATGTATAAATTTAGCCTGTCTGATAAAACTCAATGTTCCTACCTACCATTTCTACAGTATTTATGTAATTTGCAACTAATTTCTTATGGTCCTTTCAATCAAGGGTTTATTGCATTCAACATCTCTATGTTTACTCGAATTGTCACAAAATACTTCGACCGAAAAAGTGGAACTGAATCAATTTTTTTTAACAAACCCTGAAAAATCACCATTTAGGGAGTTGTGCGATTAAAAAAATGTTTTACAAGGGAATGCTTGCTAATATTTATAATATAAGGAGTTTTTAGCAATTCGATATAACAAACAAAAAGATATTTTACAATAAGATGAAATTTATTGTACCATTTATTTTTGAATCGTTACATGATTCTATACATCTCTCAACATCGACCACGCGTACGAATTACATGAGACACGAGTAAAGAGCAATTTGAAGCCAGTTAGATCGATCAAACGCGTGGATTACCCCGATAAACGTATCAGTCGCTTCTAAAAGTGACCGAAAGTGGGCCAGACGACGGCGAGAGGGAACAATAAATATATATTTTTCGTTAGAAATTAGTTTTCTCAAGTTGAATAGTCAGAGTACAAAAGAAAATATTAGGCACATGCCATTTAAATTACCCCAATTTTAGCTGTGTGTTTTATTAATGAGTTGTCTATGCTCTATGGGTGCTTGCTGTCAATGTATTATTGCAAAGCAATTAAATCTGACAATGCTTTTATGATGCATCAAAAAATCTGACTAAATGGAATTTACATGCTCATTTTTCTGGTTACACCCTTAAGTTTTTATCAATGAGCTTTAAAATTGTTCGATTTATATATATGCCTATAGAAATCTACTCGTTTCCGTGTTGAGACATATTAATGTTAAGATGTTAATGATGTTGCAACGTTAATTCGTATGTGGCTACAAAATTTAACTACTAAAAACAGAATAAATTACACAAGAATCAAATATGGTTCGGACATAATTGTGGCATAATACGTCCACGAGAACTTGCTGACAAGATTTCACTAGTTGAGAATTAAGTGTACAATAATTGGACTACATAAAAACATTAAAGATCCCCTCCTTATATTATATTCCATTCTTGCACATAACTCGAACGTGTTGTTCTCACAACAGTTCATCCATCCGTACTCTTGGACTCCATCCAATGATGAACTCCCGGATCGACCTCCCCCGATGTGGCCTCGTAGAAGAAACTCAAACTGTTGCAATACTTGCAACGTACAAACAGGGTTGCAACACATGTTTGATTCTTCTGACTTATATAGGCAGGGAAACAAGTCTCATAAACCTAGCTTAAACCTCAAGAAATCAATCACAAGGAAATGAAAGGCTTAATTTCACTTTGCACCCTTAAATGTACCATTTTGGCACTTTGCACCCTCGAAACAAATTAATAGCACTTTGCACCCTCGAAACACAATATATCATGCATAATGCACTCGACATGAGTTTTTTTAAAGCAAATAAAAACAATTTAATTTTTTTAGTAGTATTTTACAAGTTATATTTTTTATCACAAAAAAATATTTTAGAAACATAAATCCTTCAGCTATTTCGTTGTCAAGTTATCTGAAAATCATATTTTCTTCCAAATATTTATACCTAATATTTCAACCAATAGATCTATCAATCGAATAATTTAGTGATAAAAGTTTATTTGAATTTATTTTGTAAGAAAATATTTTTTTTTTCAATTATTCGGTGTTATTTATATTTTTTTGCACTTTTTCCGCTCGAAATTAGGTTGGAGGTTGAAGAACATAACAATTTAATTTATTATTTTGTACCCGGGAAGAAAAAAAACTCAAAATAAAATAAATTATCCTTTAAAATTCAATTAAGGGTGCATTGTGAACGTGTTATTGTGTTTTGAGTGTGCAAAGTGCTATTATTGTTTTTTAAGGGTGCAAAGTGCCAAAATGCTCCATTTCAAAAGAGCAAAGTGGGATAAAGCCGAAATAAAATCCTTACTACAATTAATATTTTTAAATTCAAACTATTTAAAATTTCACAATTAAAAAAAAATGATA